ATTACAAGGTGAAGTTACCACATCATTTTTGCAAATGCAATGTTCCCCTTCCCAGCCAGGCACCACTGCTGACAGGCAGCTGGAGCAGAGCCATGACACTGTCTGTCCCACTGACCCATCCAGGACTCACCATACCTACTGTGCACATCTGTTGCTCAGATGTGTGCACATGCTCAGCAAATCCAACATTCTCTTGATGCCTCAGTGTTAAAATGCATGTGCGAATCAACTGTGCAGCACATGGGTGACAGTACACAGAGAAATCCCAAACAAAAATCTAGCCTATCTCATTGGGGAGAGCGAAAAGAATAGTCTTATTTCTATCTGCATCCCTGAAAGCAGATTAGGTGTGTGAATTCTCTCTCTCTCATCATCTTTTGACCAGGGTATCTATAAAGCACATGGGACTTCACAGTGGAAGTACCTTCAACTCAAAGCTGGTATGTAGGACAAACATAAATTATGATGAATGTTCAATCTTGTTAGCATATAAATAAGGTGACCATGGTACTATGGAGTACTAGAAAGGTTTTTCTCTGTTTTAAATGTTTTAATAAACATATATATGCACATCTTTTCAAGGAATCTTATTCTGTTCAACTGTGCCCATATCTCAGACCAGAAGTCAATTGTCTTCTAAAAATAATGATTGTGAGCTAATGTTATTATTTTTTCAGTGTTTTAGAAGCACAAAGCTAGAAGAAAAGGAAGACTAAACAAAAAAAAAAAACACCTTTAAAAGTCCCCAAACCACCAGCACTACTAGACTGTTCAGCTCCATTGTTGCATCAAGGAAGAACACACTGGATCTTACCAGCACCCAGTGTTTCAGACATGGAAACGAGGCATCTGACCTTTTTTTCTGGTCGTGTGTGCCACAGGAAAACACTGCATGCTGTTCCCTCATACAACTGTACATCTGATCATGTCATTCATTTCTTTGAACTAAAATGTGTAAGTCTAAAAATTGCTAGGCCTATATCACTGCTTGGAGGTTCTTGTGAAATCAGAGACCATTCTCAGCCCAGTTCAGAGGGACGGATGGCAGTCTCTGGCAAAGCAGCTGGCAGGATTGCACAGGGCTCTGCACTGACTGATCTAGTCCATCACACATGTGACAAGGTGGCAGGTTGGACAGGTAAAGTTTATATCACTACTGCCTATCTCCCAGAATAGTGGGGTGGAATGTTTGAAGAAACCTGTTCTCTGCAGTTGCAGTCCTTTCTCAACCCCAGCCTTGCACAAGTGCTGCTAGCAGGGACAAATCTTCCTGTTCTCTTTTATAATTGTTTTTATCTCTTCTGTCCCTATTTGCAGTTTGTAATGTGCTGTATTGTAAAGGTGTTCTTTACCCTTTTTTTCCTAGAAGTGGGACTAAGCTGTTAGTTAGACATAAAACTGAGATGCATGCCAACTTCAACTTTAATTCTACAACAATTCAAGGCTGATTTGTATTTCGAACTGTCACTATTATGGTTTACAAGGCAAAAAGTGTCAGTAAAAATTGAGATTTTGTCCTTCTATAAATTGTGGAAGGGTAAGGGGGAAGTGGCAGATCTCATATAAAAACCTTATTGAAGTAGCCGTGTTGAATGATGGTGCCATTGCTTCTCTCTATGTCTCATTGTCATAGTGTAAGCCTTTTTATAATTAGAAAAAAACACAGAAGTCAGAGCAAAGTACAACAGATCCAGAAAGAGCTGGAAACTTAAGGAAGAAATAAAAATTAAAAAAAAAAACAAACAACAATAGACACAGGCTAGAGAAGATGTTTTATTTATTTGTTACTAGTAGTTAAAATGGCGTACAAAATGCTGGGAAGAAAAAACTCCAATTCTATTCAGTTACAAAATAATTAAAACTTCATTTTAAACCAAGTTTTGCTTTGTGAGACCGAGCATGAAAATACTGCAGCCTTAGGTTATATAGTCCATTGTTTTTAGAATAAAGCAGACATTTAAATACATATTGTGGTTGATATTAAATATCTCATATAATTGTAACTTAGCAGAGCTTTCTTACTCTCAGGCAATAACTAGCAATTCATAAAAGTTCTTTGTATAAAATTTACAAGGGGGAGGGGGAGATCTGCCTCAAGGGGATTTCCTGCATGATCTCTACACAGGCAGTTTTGGAACAGAAAGATCCGGAGTACTTTTATCAATTTTCCTTCAGAATGTTAGCCCAATCTTAAACAGGAGTCAGTAATGTCTGAACCTTTGCTTAACAGCTAAGAGTTTAGGGACATAGCAGTCACTGTCAGACAATGGGAGTCTTGCTGTCAACTTCATGTGAAGAAAAAAATCATTCTTAAGGTGTTCCCATTTCTTGAGCAGAGACCCTATCTAGTACAAAACTTTCAGCAATGACTGAGCTTGGTCTTTTCCCCTGAAAAAAAAACCCAAAAAACAAAATAGTAATTTAAAGGAAAACAATCCCTGCCTATTATCAGTGAAAGAGATTTCGTATAATAATAACATTAAATATCCATATCTCTCTGTTTAGCTATTCACATTCCACACAGTGGAAATCTACCTCCTGTAATTCCAGATTTTAAAACTGGATTTTAAAATCCACGAAGAAATGTGTCAAACCTGCCAAGTGAGAAGATATCAAATGAAATGCATTTTAATAATATCAGTCAATGAGTTGCTATCTCTTAACCTTACAAACACAGACCTCACAGCAGTTGATTTTACAGTAAAAGTTGTTTAGTTGTAGAGATGCAGGATATCACCAATAACTGCATGATGCACTGTATAACAGGTGGGACAACTAATATAGTGAGGACACACAGGATGCATCTGTGACATGGCTCTCATCGTCTATTTTTCACTTTGGACATGTTACTAAGGGCAGAATTGTCTTCCTCAGCATTCAGTGACAAGAAATGCTGTCAAAATAATCACCTTGTAGCTGAGAGAGGCATCTGGTATGAGAGACAACAGTTATACTGATAGTGGATACAAGAGAATATTCTGGCTGAGTGGGGAACCTGTCCTGGAGCATCAAAGCCCCATCATACAGTTAATGAGGACCTAACTCCCGTTTCACTCATATCAATAATGTCAGGGTTGTTTTCAGGCCCAGCACTGACTCTGGCATAGGAACATACCTGTACTTCAGAATGCACCAAACAGGACCAGCTGTCAAGGTCCTGCAGGCACAGGCAAGGAGGTGTGCAGCACCCTGTAAGAAATTCAGCACCAGCTGGAAAGTGCCCTTGCAAAGCCAGCACCCAGGACAGCATGAGCAGTCTGCACACCATGTGGTGTGAGATTCTGCCAGCAAGACAACCCCCAGGCTTCCTTCCCACTGAGTGTCCAGGAAAGCAAGGACAATACATATGGAAGAGCTGCCCCTTGGGTCCAATGGCCCAGGGCACACCTTGCTAAACCAAGTTCTTCTGCAGGATCTCTTGCCAAAACCTACAGCCCAAGTTTAAGTTCCTTATCCTGAAGGAAAGAAAAAGTAGGATAACCTCACAGGTGAGAGTCATCAAGCTATTGGAAGTAGTGTGTCCCCTTTTGTGTTTCCCCCCCGAAAATGAGAGGGACAGTTAGCCCTTAATTTTCAGGAAATTCTCTTTACTTAGTTCAAATCCAGTTTAAATGCAAGTCTGTGGTAAAAGACATTAAAAAAAAAGATCATTGCTGGCAAAGTTCTGCATCTCTGTTTCAACAAACTGCATGCCTGTGGCAAAGCTAAAATAACAATAACAATGCAATGTTTACTAGTCATGAATGTCGTGTCTTTTGTATCTTGTGTGGTTATTGCATTTGCAGTCACATGATGCTTGTTTTAATTTCTGCTTTGCTCTTTATGTACTAAATTACTGCCATTCTGTACTTGATCTTGGTTAGCAAGATTTTTGTGCTGTGGTTATGTATGATTTTTATGTATGTGTGTGAAAAAGAAAAGGAGTTTGGATACACACAATGAAGGATGCATACTCATTGCACATATGTATAGATACCAATGACTAAAAGATACTGCATATATATATATATGTAGATATGAAGAATAACTGATATCAGAAATACAAGACATCAAATGGATCTAGTGGCATAAGAATGGGTTTTGATTGGTTTGGAGAGCCATTAGAATTCAGAAATATATTTATAGCCTTGTATATAGCTTCTTTTTAACTTATGTAATATATGACTAGGTATATAAATTAAAGCAAAACATAAACAGAAGACAATATCTCTTCCTCTGTGTCTTCCTGTCTTTCCTTTTTCTACTCTCTTTTGTACTCTCCCTGTCTACTTGCTTTGGCTTTTTGCTTTCTAAGTTGCTGTAGCTCTGTTTTCCATCCACCTATAGTGACTTTTCAACACTCCCACATCCTCCATTGTTCTACAGACATGGCTATTGGATTACAGCATTTTATTTGAAGAAGCATGTTACAAACTCTTGACACAGCTTCTATTTTCAGTGATGGCTTTGCTACACTGTAAAGAGATTTTTGTCTATTTTGTATTTAAGAATAGATTCATGATTTCAAACATATCCTCTTATTTTGGTGTTTCACATAATACAGGAAAACCAATTAGCACAAAACATGAACACTTGCAAAAGCCACAGCTTCATTCTTCCAGGAAGCAGCAAATATGTGAATATACACTAGGAAACCTAATTCAGGATTGTGGGGAAATTGGTTATTTTAATATTTCACACCCCTGTTAATTTTTTTGTCATAGTGAACATTCATGTACTTGCTTGTATATATTCATTTTCTCCCTTACACGCAGACATGCATGCCCTTCCCTTACATCAGTCTTTTCCTTTGGTTTGGGGTGGGGGGCGGAGAGGAGGGTGCTTGCTTGTTTTAGGTAATTCACTATGTCCCATTCAGTGTTCTCCAGCCTTGAAGGTATGCTAGTCCATGCCACTCACTCTCACACTGGCAATGATTATGTACAGAGTGCAATTGTTACTTTTGTCTCAGTTTAGTCCAAGTCAATAGATATACACC